CGTCACTACCATAGTTCCGACGACCGCCGCTTCCCAAGTGACCACCGATAATCCGGCAGGCACGGGAAATCTAGGAGGCGTTGGTGTGGGACACGGGCAACGTTGTAGTGACGTTGACCTAGTGACCACGTGAACGTGTTAGGCGGCTGTTTTGAAGAAGTTCGGGGCGCCCGGTTAGTTGTTAAGCAGCTAGAGCCGAACACGAAGAGGACCTAGTGAGAGGCTACTAGCGAAATCGAACACATGCGTGCGGTGTCGGCGGCGGCTTCAAACAGTTGTTGAGGTAGGACGTAGGCGGCTGGATAGCGGGATTAGGGTTGAACGTAGGGCTATCGGGCGCTCGGTCCTATGGTCGGGCGGGCGATGGCTAAGGAGGCTAGGAAAACCACGAGCGAGAGTGAGCTGGTGCAGTGCGAAGAATGCAAGCGCTGGTGCTACTTAGATGAGACAGCATTCACGAGTTCAGCCGACGGGCAGAAGGCGAGCTTTGTGTGCAGGCTGTGCGATGCACTGAAGGCGGAGGCAAGCATCGAGGGGCTTCAGGGGGAGCTTAGGACGGAACGGTAGCAGAGAACAGAACTCCAAAAACAGCTCGAGGAGCGCGAGGAGGCTACCGACAGCTTATTAGAGTAAATGAAGGGCGACCTTCGAAAAGAACGGGAAGGGCGGACCGAGCTCGAGGAGCGGGTAAAGGAGCTGATGGCGCTTTGCCCCGGCCCCGAGCGGTGTGAGACGGAAGGCATGGGTAGCGGAGAAGGTGACAGGCGGGAAGGAACAGGCGAGAAGGGAGGTCAGGGGGCCGCAGTGTGTGGCCACAGCACGCAGGCCCCGAGAACATACAGCTCGGTGGCGCGGCAGTCTTCGAGCAGGGCAGGAACACAGGACAGACGGCAGAGAGAGAAACAGGTGAAGCAAACAGGGGCACCATCACAAACAGGAAGCCATACATTGGAGCGTAGAAGGGTCCTGGTGGTGGGGGACTCTAACGTGGCCAGGGTTAGGGATGGCGTCTTCAAGACAGTGAAGATGGGAGAGTGAGGGTGGAGGGCCAGTCAAGGAAGGGCATGGTGGATGCACTGGCCAAAGCTCAGGAGGTTGTAGAGGACAGCATGGAGGGCGAAAATCTCGTCATTATTCATGCTGGGCTCAATGATGTGTTGAAGGGCAAGGATCAGAACCTTCAAAGACAGTTAAAGGATGGGATGCGTAAGCTCTGAGAAGCCTCTGGGAGTGTGCATGTGACCATATAGACAGTCCCAGAGGTCTGGGGCAGTCTCGTGGGATTGAAAGGAGGGTAGTGGAGGCCAACTGTGTGATCAAGGGTGTGAGCCAGCAACTCGGATACAACGAAATGGAGGTGAACCAAGATGTGTACGAGCCCGGCGTTCGCACCTTTGCACAGGATGGCATTCGCTACAGTGGTGCGACGGGCAGGAGGGTTGGTAATAGGATGGGTCGTTAAGCCACAGTTTCTTTAGGGGGGCCCAGACCTCTGAGGCCAACAGTGTAGCCGAAGACGGTTCTAAAGGGGCACAAATATTCGAGCCACACGGAGTCCATGGGAGAAAAAATCAACGTAAGCACAAGGGCCGAGCTAAGTCAGACATAGGCTATATTAACATGCAGGGTGGCAGGAATACGTTAAAGTGGGAAGAGATAGAAGAGCAGTTTAGGCAGGAGGAACTGATGGTATATGGGATTGTGGAGACACATCTTCAGGACATGGAGCAACCACCTTGCCATGCGGACTACGTATGGGCATATTGCAATAGAACAGAAGGCAGCAAAAAGGGGGGTGGAATCGGTGCATTCATACATAAAAGTATGGGTTGGCAAAGAGTCAAGCAGGGATGCGTGGAACATTTATGGTTAAGAGGAAAAGTAGTTGGGCAGATGACACTTCTTGGTTTGGTGTACTTGTGGACGGGAGAAAAGGCAAGAGAGAAAAACCAGGCAATGGTGGACTGTATATCAAAGGACATTGAGGAATTAGGAGGAGAGTGCAAGACAATTATACTAGGAGATATGAATGCACACACAGAAGATATAGATGGGTATACTGACTCAACAGGCAAAATGATCATAGATATGTGTGAAAGGCATGATTTCATCATTTGCAACAGTACTGAGAAGTGTGAAGGGAAAATAACATGTGAGGTAGGAAGGCTGCAGTCAACGATATATTATGCACTGATGTCACATAGCATGTATGATAAGCTCATGGGAATGCACATAGATGAAGGTGGCTCCAGAAGTCTGGGTAGTGATCACAAACGTACCAAGCTAAGTTTTCGAAGAGCAGTGAAAGTGGGAAGGAGACAAGATGAACAACTACAGGAAAATTTTCATTCAGAAAGACAAATGGAAATTGCTACTAAACAAATTGAGAAAGTAATCACTGAGGATAATAAAACAGTCTGGACATACACAAATCTAATTAGACCGTTTCAGCTAGAGCTTGCTAAGGCATGTGACATGTCACCTTGGAAAAGAAAACACAAGCCTAATAGTTGGTGGGATGAGAAAGTTAAGAGAGCCATAGCAAAACGCCAGGAAGCCTCTAGGGAACACAGACATGCTAAGCAGCAGGGTGAACCGACAGATGATGTTGAAAGAAAATGGGACATCTTTCTAAGCTCTAGAAGGGAAGCATCCCACCTGATCAATGAGAAGATTAGAAGAAAAGGTGCTCAGTGACTGGCAGAAGTTTATAAAAAGGACAGAAAGGCAGCTGCGAAATTTTAGAATCATCTAAACTCCCTAAGAAATGAAACAAGCATAGAGAAGAGGTTGATAACTACAGCTCAAGGCGCTAAGCTAAAAAGGGACGAAGCTATTGAATATATATGAACAAGGGTGACAGAAAAATTTCAACAAAAAAGTGCATTATGCGCCACAATAGGCAAAGATGAATCAAGTGGCACAATGGCTACATTTTCACACCGAGAGCGGGAAAGGGCTGAGAAGAGGGTTCCTAGTAGTACATCAACAGGCCCAGATGGCATTCCAATTATGCTGATAAAGACATTAGGTTCGAAGTCTAAACAGACTTTGAGAGAGGCAGCGAGCAGAGCAATAATCGATGGTGAAGTCCCCGATGGATGGAAACTTAGCAGGATGAGCATGATCTATTAAGGAAAAGGAGACAAAGCTGACATAAACAACTACCGTTCTATAACAGTGACATCATTGGTCTACAGACTGGCGATGCAGATTATAAGGAAAGACTGCAGGCAAGGATTGAGGATGAGGGGTTGCTGGGGGAACTGCAGAATGGATTTCAAAAATACAGGAGGTTGGAAGACAATCTGTTCTCACTGACGCAGTGCATCGAAATAGCCGAAAAGGAACACAGGCCCCTCTGGCTAGCATTTTTGGATATCAAGGGAGCGTACGATAGCGTGGTTCAAGAGGAATTGTGGGGAATACTGGACACACTAGGTGTGGAAGATGGAGCCACTAGTCTTCTAAAAGAAATTTATAAAAGTAACAAGGTAGTTATAAAGTGGGAAAAACAGGTATCCAAGCCCACAGAGGTGAAACGGGGGCTTAGGCAGGGGTGTCCTCTGTCACCCTTGTTATTCATAATGTACCTACAAGGATTGGAGGCCAAATTAGAGGGAAGTGGACTTGGCTTCAACCTCTCTTTCGTCAAACAAGGAAAACTCATCGATCAGGCACTACCAGCATTAATTTACGCAGTGATATAGTGCTAATGGCCGACAACAAGGAAGATTTGCAGAGATTGATGGATATCTGCAGTAATGAGTGAGATAGGTTAGATTTTAGATTCCGTAAGGAAATATCAGCAGTCATGATTTTTAATGATAATGAAGGTTGTGAGCTTAGAATACAGGAAGTCACACTGGAGATAACAGATAAATACAAATATTTGGGCATATGGATAAACAATTGGACCGAGTACCTGAGGGAACACGAAATATACGTGATGCCTAAAGGTAACAGAAATGCAGCAGTGATGAAAAATAGGGCACTGAGTAATTACAATAGGTATGATGTTGTGAGAGGAATATGGAAAGGGGTCATGGTTCCTGGGCTGACGTTCGGCAATGCGGTCTTGTGCATGAGATGAGGAGTTCAAGCAAGATTAGAAATTAAGCAATGTGGAATAGGTAGGCTGGCTTTAGGAGCTTAAGGGAATACACCAAATCAGGGAGTACAAGGTGATATGGGATGGACATTTGAGGGCAGAGAAGCTAGCAGCAAGATAAAATTTGAGAAGCGATTGAGAGAAATGGGGGAGGAGCGTTGGGCTAGGAAGGTTTTTAGCTACTTGTACATGAAGAATGTCGATACAAAATGGAGGAAGCGAACCAGGAAATTGACTGGTAAATACTTAGAAAACAGCAGGTGGCCAAACCAAAACGAATTATCGTTAAGAAGAAAGTTAAGGAAACGGAGACTGACATGTGGAGAATTGGCATGATTAAGAAGTCCGCACTAGAGATCTATCAAACTTTTAAGCAGGAAATTGCCAAGGAAAGGATCTATGATAATACTCGGGGTAGTTCTCTACTGTTTGAGGCCAGGACGGGAGTACTGCGAACCAAAACATATCGGGCCAAATACGAAAGGGTAGACACAGTATGCAGTGCGTGTGGAGAGGAAGAAGAAACTGCGGAACACTTGATAATGTTCTGTAAAGGGCTTCACTCTATAGTTCAGGATGATGGCGCAGAGTTTTTCAAAGCACTGGGGTTCAGGAACAGGGAGGGCAAAATAGACTTTAAGCGGGTAGAATTAACTAGAAGAAGGTTAACTGATTAATGGCTAAAGTCAAGGCACGAGTGAAAATTAAACCCTTCACTGCAAAGTACCAGTTTTCAACTTCATAATTTAAAGGAAAAAAAAAGATAAATCTATTGGTTAGTTCACTAAGTATTACGGGTAGGTGGCGTGAGCCGCCGCCTGATCTAAAGGGTGCAGCCACATCCATCCATCCATCCATCGTTGGTCATATCGCTGGTCGGCCATGAATGAGTCGCGACGTGGCCCTGTAGTTCCAGTTTCGCTGATGTCTGTCACACATACCGATGGTGGCAAAGGAGCTAATGGCGCCGCCGTGTAGTAAGGTGGATTGGTAGGTAGATAAGGAATGGCTTCGTCAACCCCACCACCTTGGCGTTGCAGCTCTTCACACACTATTGCCCGAATAGTAGCGGCAAGGTCGATGGGCGGGCTCATGTCGACCCTGGCAACCGTTGTCACACTTGCCAGCCTACCAAATTTTGGGGCAATGCGATGAGTCTTGATTTTTTCAAATGTGCGGCAGTGATGATGGACGTCGGAGATAGAGGTGAGGTCATCCCTGCCTATCAGAAAATTGTAAACGTCTTCCGCTATGCCTTTCAAGAGGTGTCCGACCCTGTCTTCTTCAGACATCTGCGGGTTTATAATCTTGCAAAGCTTAAGAACGTCCTCTATATAAGCAGTGCTCGTTTCTCCAGGAGTCTGAGCTCTTCGAGCAAGAGTCCGCTCAGCGCTTTTCTTTTTTGAGTCGGAGTCACCAAAACACTTCTTCAATTCTTGAGCAAAAAGAGCCTATATTGTCAAGGACTGTTCGTGGTTTTCATACCACATCAGTGCAGTGTCCGTGAGAAACAGCGCGACGTTATCCAGCTGATCGATAGAGCTCCAGGGGTTGTACCGGCTCACCCTTTTGTACTTCGTTAGCCACGCGGCCACATCTCTCCTGCCATTCCCGCGAACTGGCGGGGTTTCATGTAGTGATGCCTAGGTGTAGCCAGCGTAGACCTGCGCGAAGTTGAGGCGGTTGATTCCTGACCTTCGCTCTGGGCCATGATGACTGTTGTCGGTGGCAGACCGGCAAGACGACGGCTCCGGTGAATTCCGAACAGCTGTGGCTCCGTGGTACGTCGACGTGCCGTACCCAGCACCTTCACCACTCTGTTACGTCTACAAGAGGGGTTTATTTAGATCCTACATAATGGTCGACTCGACGGTATACAGAAGTGAACACGCACCGCTAGCTCTTGCCTTTGTTTGTTTATTTGTTTCCCTGGACTCATGGCTCTCACCCACTCAGGGGGATTGGTCAAGAAAGCGTAGTGCATTTTTACTGTGAGCATTATAACTATGTGTAATGAATTTGTATTATAATATGACTAATGTAAGGAAAACGACATATAAAGAGAGCAAACGAAAAAAAAAAGAAAAATAATGGAAAAGTCAAGTTGAGAAATTTTGAGATTTCAGGTGTTGTGATTACCACTCAGCTGCGTTTACTTCACCTCAAAATTTAGAATTTTTTTTGTAATAAATAATAATTATTTATTAAAAGATCACAAAGGTATATGTTTGGATGCCTGAATATAACCACAAACGGCATTGAAAGCATCCCTGTGGCAATGTCCCAAAACTGAGGCACCAAAGCTTAGTGCAGTTGCCGCTGTCAATCTAACACCTATTTTCAGAAATGGAATAACTACAAGCCTTTTTCTAAGTATATCGTATCGGCAACAATACAAAAAAATATTGTTCTATTAATTCCATTTCTCCGCAGAATGCGCAGAGGGGTGATATTGTCTGACCAGCTCTGTGCATATACAGGTTTAGGGGGGGGGACACGACATTGGTATTTAGTAATTAAAACTTCGAGCTTTCTTGACTGGCTCCAGTGGAGTCGCCAAGGAAACTTGAGGTGGTTATATTCTGTCCATGTAGTTACTTTTTCTATCATATCAGTGCAGATTGCTGATTTTCGATATCTTATTGCTGTAATATATTCAATATCTGGCAGTATAAATAAAACTGGGCTATTAAGTGCGGCTCGTGCTAAGGAATCGGCCAGTTCATTTAATCTTAGTTCACAGTGTCCCGGAACCCATAGTAACCTCGGGAGTCTCAACTGCGGTGGTACTAATGTTCTCGATATCCTTAGAATTTAAGAGTTCTCGGAAGCTGTCAGAGCTGCACAAACTGAAAGAGAATCTGTCATTATGAGTGCGTTGTTTTAATTTGATGGAAGTTTTTGAAGAGGTAAAATAATCGCGACGAGCTCTGCTTCAAAAACTGGAGTAAAATCAGGCAGTTTCAGTGAGAAGAACCAGTCAAGCGAATCAGAGGTAATGCCTACACCTGCCTTTTAATTATTTACTGAAGCATCTGTGATTTTTTTTTTATTTTTAGTTTCTGCACACTTCAAGTAATCTAATAATATGTTATTTAAAAATTTGAGAGATCGTAACTTGATGCTTCGGGGAAAAATATCATCATATTAAATTCTAACATGACAATTCGAGTCATTAGTCTCAATTACATTTTTAACATTCACATTTATACTTTGTAGATTCTTTTGTACAAACATTATCTGGGGTGTGTGAAACCGTGGGCAATGAGCAAAAAAGAAGGCGTCTGGGTTTGCGATAAAATCATACCGAGGTCTTCTTGCCGGTAAGCTATAAAATTTTAAAAATGCTTGTACTGTCAAAATGCGAAATCAACAAAGTAGTGTAGGCAGGCGCGCTTCCTGGTACAGTACGTTGATAGCCACAAACCTAGAGAGTCCCAGACACATTCACAGTGCTTCTTGCTCCAAGACAACTAGAGGTTTTGTTTTATAAGCATGGCCACCCAAAAATAGTATACATCCAAATTCCATGATGGGGCGCATGTACGTCTTGTACAACATTATCAAGGTGTGCCTCCGTAACCCATATTTCCGGTTACATAGCTTTTGCACTAAGCCTGAGGCCCGTTGTGCCTTGGTAGTTATATACTCAATGTGTGGACTTCAGTTAAGTTTGTCATTATAAATGATTCCCAAATATTTTATAGAGTCTACTTGCTGGATGGGTTCCTGTTTATATAGAATAGAAATTGAAATTGGGTCTGCAAGCGGAAATACCAAGAGCGCACTTTTGCTGACATTTAACGATAATGAGATCGACTGCAACCAAATTTCTAACATGTTAATATATCTTTGTAATTTTAGTTGTAGTGAGTAAATATCACAGTCAGCAGCAAAGAATGCGATGTCATCAGCATAAATGTAGACAGTAACATCTTGGTCTGTTGGAATTGTGCTTATTAAAACATTAACTAACACTGGAGATAAGACTGCTCCTTGGGGAACTCCGCACATTTGTTTAAATCTAGATGAGGAACAAGTATCCCTGACGCAGTAGAATTCTCTTGATTTTAAAAATTCTGCCACCCACTCAATAAAATATTGTGGAAAATTCAATCTCTTTAGCGTATTTAACAAAATGAAGTGCTCCACACTGTCATACGCCTAGGCTATGTCAAGCGTTACTAAAGCAGCGTATTGCCTTCTTTTTCAAGCGAGCTGTATTCGGCTCTCTAAATCAGCATGGGCACTACGAAAGCCGATTTGGTTCGGTTTTATTACTAAATTTTCGGCCATCCAGATACTTACTCGGATATGTAGGATCCTCTCTACTAGTTTGATCATTTTAGATGTAAGAGAAATGGGTCTGATATTATCGACTGTTAATCCTATACCTAGATTTTTTAGTATAGGCATGACCTTTGCTATCCTCCAATCCTGCGACCCCCATGAATTCTTTTAAAGAGTAGTTTATAACAATAAACACGTCACTGGGCAATAAATTGAACAGAATTTTAATCATGGGAACTGCGATTCCATCTGGGCCAGGAGCCGCATAGGGTAAATGTTTATTCACGTTGAATACTTCAGTCTGTGTCACTTCGTCAAAGTCAGATTTTGTGGTAGACTTGTGCCCGTTGTTTGGCACGACTGAGGTAAATCTGCTTTCCAGACCTTTACCAATTGCCTCTAAGGTTATGGTCGTTTCTTGGGCCAACAGATTATCATAAACCTCATTAACTGGTGATGGCAAGATTTTCCGAGCTCTCATTTCTTGGAACAGTGCTTTCATATGTTTAGGCTTCGACAGATATTCATGTCTTCAATCATATTCTTGTTTAGCTTGAGCTACTGTTCTCTTAAAGCTTGCTGCAATGAATTTATAATCTGCCCACTTTTGAGGGGACTGATTATGTATGAGCTGCTTCCAAGTTCCCTGACGTCGTCGGTGCTCTCTTGTACATTCATCATTCCACCAACGGCTATATGCCCTTTTTGTGGATTCAACAGTAAATTACGCTCTTTTGTAAGCTCTTTTAATGATTGCGTTTATCTTCAGTGCTTTTGTATTATCATTCTCTTCCGAGTGAAAAGCCAATGCTGACTTCAGATCATTCTTAAATTTAGTGTAATTTACAAATACTCGTACATTTGAACAAGATGGAATTGTCGGGCAAAAAATTTCAAAACTTATCGGTAAGTGGTCACTGTTGGTTCCACAGTCCAGCGCTTTCCAAGAAGAAGTAGTAATAGCCGAACTGACAAAACTTAAATCTAAGGCTGACCTGGAGTGATTATGAATAAATGTGGGGGTTCTGATGTTGAGGCACGTCAGGTTATTAGCCAATGTCCACTCCCACAAGCGTTTTCCACTCAGATTCATTCTAAAACCCCAACTCATGTGGTGGAAATTAAAGCCTCCAACTAAGACTTTGTCCTTGCACCACGACTTTGTAGCTAGATCCAAACTTTGTGCGTCTTGAACTCTATCCGGAAAATACATATTAAATAGGGTGAAAGGACTACAGTTGGCTAATGTAATGTCTACTGCCAAAAATTCACATTCTGGCGACATATGCTTATATGAACATTTGACTTTTATACTAATTCTATTATTAATAAAGTAAGCTAGACCTCCACCTCTCAATGGACGGTCTAGTCGAAAAGACCGAAAGTTATTTAACGGGAACAAATTATGTGCAGATAGCCATGTCTTTTGTAATGCTATAATATCAGGAGCGAATTTAGAAGTCAAGTATACCAAATCCGTAGATGCAAAATAAATTGATCGGCGATTCCAATGGAGAATCTTGAGCAACCCTATGGTTTCGAAAGAGCAGCTTCCACTACAGCTTTATGTAGAATGCTTTCTTTAAAATAATCTTTCTTTGAAAGGCCCTACATTTCCTTCAGATACTTTTTGTTCTTTGTCTGTTTTGATGAGTTAGTTTTCCTTGACAGAGGGGACCGAGATCGCTTCAGGGACCTAGGGTCCAGATCCATGTCATCTGAATTTATTGTATCTGCATCTTTGTCTTCACTTCGGCTCTGTATATCTACTAGAGAGGGTTGATTGATTTGATTGATATGTGGGGTTTAACGTCCCAAAACCACTATATGATTATGAGAGACGCCGTAGTGGAGGGCTCCGGAAATTTCGACCACCTGGGGTTCTTTAACGTGCACCCAAATCTGAGCACACGGGC